AGGTTTTTGACAAACTTATGGAAGAAAGTATGTGTCAGAATGCTGATACCGTTTATTTATCTTATAACTAGCTCTTGTACCCGTGCTTTGCAACGGGAAGAGGACACAAAATAGAAACATTTTAATTATTATCTCTAGCATATAATAGTTACAGATCCGCCAACGCTTTTAGAAACAAAATTCAACTTTTATAGCCTTAATAGAAACGTTTAAGTTATGACTTTAAAATCTGTTAAGTAGTGGATCCCACCATTTTGGTTTTGATTAATTTTAAATCTTGTGGAGCCTGATATGAGAAAAACTGACCAAATCTTTGAGTAAGTTAAAACTTGAACATGATTTACCAGATTTACCTTCATCTTCCTTAATTACACATCTTTTAATTTATTATTGACATTTTAAATTTCAATTTTGAAGTTGCAAAAATACCTAATTATTAAATTTAAATATCTTTATATTAAACTCTTCTTCATATTAAATCACAAATCCTTTCATCTTCAGTTTTTTCACTCACAATAAATCATTAGCAAAACTAAGTCAGCTGTTATAAACTTTAGAAATATTGCTGTGCCTTATCAATACAGTCTTTTGAAATATTAAAGAAACTATATCCATAGGTAGTATAAAAAATTTCAAACAAATAATTTAGCATTAAAGACAGCAGACAAAACTAATATGATTATCAAAGCATCAAGGACTAAAAAATGTAATAGCAAATACAGAATATGTTTCATTGCATCACTGATTCTACTATACAAAAATATCAACAAACAACTTAATATACAAACCAGTTCTTTTAATCAGTTCCATCGTCCATTGCCTTTACATTTTCACACTTACCATTAGGAAAACATAGCAACAGATATTTCATTGATATTAGAAACAAAAGAACACTGTGTACTGCTTAGTTTTATGATATTTTCCTTGGTTTAATTTAATCAGTGGTGTGGCAAAACACAAACAATAAATTTATCAAATAAAGTAAAATTTGAACTGAAAGCTATGTTAAGATAAAATAAGAGTATTTTGTATTTTGCACATATACAACAGATTTTAGAAAACAAAAATCAAAGACAATTTAGTTATTGATGGTATTCTTTAGTTTAATTTAAGCATAGGTTTAGCAAAACACAAAAACTTAATTTACCTAAATATACATATAAAAACAATGTGATGTGCAAATTATAGTTAATCCAACACATGTGAAGCAGTTTGAATTTATTTAAAGTAGCCTCCAAATTCATACAAAACATCTATACATTGTAATTTTCATACTGTTTCCATGAAAACATATCAATAACATTATTTTCACTTAAGATTATTAACTTAAGAAGCTTTAAAAAATCCAAAGCAGAGCCGGAGTTGATACAGCAACGGTTATAAAATCTTTTTTTCTATAATCATTGACATAGTTTTAGAATAAATAATCCATGATAAAATGTTAGATCAAAATAAACCTACCTCATATTTATGGAAAGTATTATTTCTTTGTATCAGCTGTCTGAAATTGTGAAATATGCAGTTTAGCAGTTCTTCTTGTTTATATTTAAATGTCAAAGCAAATGTAAACAAACATTGTTAGTGTTCTCATCACAGCCATGGAGACCAATCAATATTTACTTTTAAATTGTTCACCTAAGAACTTTTAAAACCAAAGGGGCAAAGCCTACGGTCAGTATCGAAATGTGAATAGTCCTATAATGGTCCTTGGTATGGTAACTATATTTTTGTAAAATTTAAGCCCAGTTAGTTCAGTAGTTTTTGCATCTATTAGTAATACACATTCAGACAGACACCATTAGATTTTTATATAATAGTATAGATAGCAGAGTACCCGTCCTTCGTACGGGGTTGGCAAATAAGTATAAAATGCTTATTGCAGTTATACCCGATCTTTGCGTTTGCGATGTGAGAAAACACGGTTTGAGAAATATTGCTTCCTCAAATTTACGGTATGCAATAGTATTACACATCTACCATAGCCATAATGTTCTACTACTTCACCTACACAATAAAGAAAGATAGATTATTAAAAATTCGCAAAATATCATAAATTATTCATGAAATTAAAAACATAAACATAACTGTAAACAATCCTACTTTGACCGTTCTCATTATCACAGTTTTTTGTTGCTGCTTAGTTCAAATTAGCTGTTTTCATAAATAATGAAAAAAATAATAGTGCTGCACCCTGTTGGTAAATCTTATAAATTTTTAATGCTTTTGCATATCATAGACCAACTCTTTTAGTTGAAACAGCTGGCTAAATTCTTTAATTCCCTTTAAATATGAATACTCATAAGGTTAACATGGGGAACTGCAGAGCCACTGGGGCGGAGCCCAAAAGGATTTTTGAGATAAAAATATGCCTATTTGTTAATCGGGAACGTGAGATATCATCATGCCAAATTTCAGCCCAACCCAATTTTTCGTGTTTACTTGTCACAAACATACATACATCCATACATCCAAACTTTCTCATTTATAATATTATAGTAGGATATTTTAGCGAATTTCCCTATAGGGAAGTAGCTATTACCGTAGGTCTCATGGTAAGACTTAGGCCCGGGACCGATTTACTTTTTCATTTTGATGTCCCCAGAGGCCAAAAACACCATTCGTTCAAATTTTTATATATGTATATATATATATATATATATTAAATATTTAAGTAAATAAGTACAACTGAGAACCCTGAATATTATATTTTATAAAAAGAAGTGACATGTTTCGGACATTAGTCCATTTTCAAACTTCAAAATACATTAAACACTTAACCATTGTTTATATTGTTTGTTTTTAAATAAATATGATTTATACATACAGATGGTTTATAGAACTAGACAGGATTTGGAAAAACTTTTTTGTTACTGATTATTTAATTTTAAAATTTGGTCAAAGATTGGGTTTCTTGAAGGAATTTGGCTATTTAAAATATGATTTGGATTTTTTAGATTTTCTTCGTATATGAAATATTCTTCAGTTGAATCCATTCGATTTCCTTTGTTTAAAACTTTTAGAATTTTCATGTTGTTTTTTAAATTTGTGTAATTGTGGTTGGTCGATAAAAGGTGTTCAGCAAAGTTTGATTTCATGGATGTTCTGTTGTTACTCTTAAGAGCTTGAATGTGTTCTTTGAATCTAGATTTAAAAGAGCGTCCTGTCTGACCAATGTAGAAGTGTTTACAATCAGTGCAGTTAATTTTGTAAATGCCAGATTTGTCATAGATGTCTTGATGTTCTTTATTGGTATTAATGTTATTTGCTATCATATTGAAAGCGTTATTTTTTGTTTTAAAGCCAATTTTGTATTCAGAATTTTGAAAAGTTTTTCTTGTAGTCCTGTTAAGAGTTGTATTGAATGGGATACTAATGAATTTCTCTTTCTTCTTTCTTTCTTTGTTGTGTTCTTGATTTTGGGTTTTCTTTCTTTTGATGTTTCTAATCATATTGAAGATAATGTTTTGCTTATATCCATTCCTTGGTTAAGTGTTTAATGTATTTTGAAGTTTGAAAATGGACTTATGTCCGAAACATGTCACTTCTTTTTATAAAATATAATATTCAGGGTGCTCAGTTGTACTTATTTACTTAAATATTTAATATATCAGCAGCCCTAATAAGTGAACACCTAAATTAAATATATATATATATATATATATATATGTGTCCGTGAACACGATAACTTGAGTAATTTTTATTCGATTTTGATGAAATTTGGTTTGAAGGTGTAAGGCGGGATAAACTTGAATGAGTTCGCAATCCAGCATGATCGGACCATGGGAACAGGGTTTTATGGGGGGTTTTATGGGGTAAAAATTGGTTTTTCTCACTTTTGACCCTCAAAACACAAAATTTCCCAATTTTTCTCTAACCCTTCTTAAAGAGCTTAAAAAAACAAACAATTCAGTATATCAAAGTGTTTTTGTATGGTTATTGGTTACGGAGAAAACTAAAAAAATGGTAAATTTAAAATTCCCATGTTATTCTTATGGAGGATATTGTAAAATGTTGTAGTTTGCTTGTTTATGGATATCTGTTGATCAAACTTGGCAAATATATTCATTTTATACTAAGGAATAATTATTTTACTTAAAACACACACTTTATTAGTTTCCTTGTAGCAGCAAACCTAGGTACTCGTTAAACCTAATGTTATTTAAATAGATCAATTGAAAATCAATTCAGCCAAATGGAAATTCGCTTAGACGGCAGGTTTGCTGCGGCGGGGGTATTTTATATTATCAGCAAGTTTGGTTGGTTAGTTTAGGTTATGACAGTTTAATTTTATAATTAAAAAGTTAATTTTGTAACTAAAAATTATAAAATTAACTTAATTTAAATTTTTCAACTTAGCGGTTCTAGCCGCGAACGGTGACACTATGTGAGCCATCGTCCCTCCCGTGTGTCCCACCGCTACCAAAGTGTCTTTGCACTTCAGGTTAATTTTATTATTAAATCAGCAAACCATAACGGTTTTTTATTATTATGCTAGGAATTAATCAATTACTGTTTTTTGAATATCCAATGTAATCATGTTTGAAAATAATGTTGAATTGAAATGAAAATGATTATATGTTTTCAAAGATTTAAATCATTTAACAATTGATAGTCTAGTGTTTCTCCACAAAAAATGTGTGCTATTTACTCAATACTGCATTATTGACATACATTACCTCAATTTAAACTGTGCATAAGTGTTGGTATTGTGCATAAAAGCTCAATTAATCTAAAATTTAGTAATTTCATTAACTCTTAAATTGGTGAAAGAATATATACTCATTTCCTTGGAAAATTAGCAAAGTAAGTGTTTTACAGGTTCTGTTAGTAGTAAAGTATAAATCTTAGCCTACTTAAAAAATTTAATTAATATCACTTTTCTTAAGGGCCTTAAAGCTCCACTAATCAATCAAACAACTTCTCCTAGCCCTGGTATAAAAATACAATTTTAGACTCAGTGCATGTCATAATTGTCCCTAATATAATGTTACTGTTGGCAGCCCTGATCATGGTGTTGACACTACACACAGTAGTGACAACACGACAGAAGTACCAGCGCCACCTGAGAGGTCGCCCCTTGTCTCGTCCAGTTGTCATGTTCCCCAGAGTCACCTACAAGGAGTTAGACGCTGATGTGACACACTGCATCAAGTACCTGCTCAACTTCGGCTTCTACAGGTTCGGAGTTGAGGTATGTTATTGTAAGATTTATATATTGTTCTGGATCTTAAGTAGCCCTAATTATTCTAACTCTCTTAGCCATTCATATCTAAGAAGGGATTTGGGTTCATCTGCTCTCCCTTTTTCTAAGCTCTCAACTTTCTCATGTTTTGGCTACTTCATCTTCCAACCTTTTTTTTGGCATCCGGGGATTTTCTATATAAAATTGTCCTTATTCATTAGTTATCTTCATAGCTTACTTTCTCCTCTTTCACCGATGCTTCAGTAAGCTTAGAAATGTTAAAACTATTGTTAAATTAACTCCAACCCTTTACTTTTTCCTTTATTGGGAATAATTAAGCATAACTTTAGTGAAAATCAATGGAACACCAATGATAACCAAAACACTGTTGAAGCCCTTACGTCCACTTTTGACTTGTATCATCTAGCTATTGGCAGCCTAGGTAAAAAAAAAACAGCTTGCTATCCTTGCTTGGCATTTACACAAAAATAAAAAGATTGATTGTTTTCTCCTACAGAACAATATTATCTCTTTTGCCAGTGAAATTTGTGCTTAGTAATTCTATTCTTGCACCTCAAAACCTTTAAATCCTAAAAAAATTAAAAAAACCATTGATATTATTTTTGCCAACAGATCTGCCTGATGGCTGTGGTAGCCCTGATTGGTGCCAGAATGGATCTCTACGCTCTCTTCTACTCTCTCTGGCTGTGTATGCTCATCACCCCACGTCGCTACTTGCTGTCCAAGATATGGACTGTGTTCAAGGTGTTCATAGTGTTCACAATACCATTGCAGTACGCATTTGTTGTTGGATTGCCACCAATACTGTGTGTAGGTGAGTATTACCATGTTATCTGGTTATTTAGCACTTTCCAGTCAGAGAATACTGATTCCTCTGAGTTTAATAGTAATCCTCTTGAAAGCCTTTGAACACTTAGGGTTGTCTGAGTAATTTACCTTAGGTAAGGTAGCTGTAAATTCAATCTAAAATAAAACAGCTGGTTTGAAATTAAATTTGTCATGTTCCAGTTTATCCGTGGGATGATACAGAGATACTGTTGGGGATACAGGAATGGATGTTCCTTCCGGACCCCATCCACCCTCCACCAGCCTACAAGCTTATGTGTAAGTAGAAACAAAGATATTTACTAAAACGACTATATTTTAAAATGGGTCTTTTATAATAAACACTCATTACCTTGAAATACACACAATGGTATAGTTTTATATAAATATAATTTAAAACAATAATAACAGACAATGACTTTTGTAATGTAATGTGTAGGTGACTTTGTCCTGCTGTTGCTGGTGTGTCGACAAGCATTGGTGTTCAGGATAGAGCAGCGCCACGACGGACACGAGTACGCTGGTGGTACCAACAAGAGCATCATAGACAAAGTAGAGAAGCCAGGCTTTGTCAACCCTATACCTGACTTTATATCACACGCCAGGTAAGTGGGTAGTCCCAGTATCAGCATTTGTCTCTAATATTCTGTGATATTGTAAATTTTCTGGGTAGCCGAGTATTTCTGATGGGTAGCTGGGTAGCTTGCCTTCAAGGTTGATGGTTGCTGGTTTGTTTCTAAGCGAGATAAATTCTAGACCCAGATAGCATTTGTCATTGGCTATCAATTAATGATGCTATCTAACAAAACATTAATGTTAGAAGTAACAAGACCAGGGTTTGAACTGTCCCTTAGAAAAACCGTTAAAAATTGACATTGGCATGGATTAATTCAAATAAAAAATTACTCCTTCCCTATAGGAGGATTTCAGTAAAACATTTCCTGAAATTATTTTTGTTCCTTGTATTGTAGTCACATAATGATGTGCCCTTTGTCCAGCCCATTTTACAATTTGGCTTCAACATATAATGAAGATTCAATTGTCAAGACAGCAAACATTCCTGTTGTTTATCGTATGTGATTTAAATATTTTATGGTGGGAACCTTACCTTGCTATATTAGTTGATAGTAAAATTTATGTTCAAATTGAGATATCAATTGATTGTTTGTTGGTAGGTCTTGGTTGGACATCTTCAAGCGTATAGTCCTGACCAGCTTCATATGGTTCACATTGGCCATAGTGTTCCTGGCAGGTACCAACAGAGTGAATCTCTTCTCTCTTGGATACTTCATCGGAGCTTTCATCTTCCTGTGGCAGGGCAATGACCTCTACCTGCGACCCATCAAGGTCATCCTGCGATGGTGGGGAAACAGTTTTGTTAAATTAATTAATTAGATCAGAACAAACCCTCATTACATTGATATTTAAACTATCACTTAAATTATAGATCAGTGTTTGTTGCATGAACTTGTTACCAATAGGTAATGAACTAAGGCAGACCAGTGTGTAGGATTTCTCAGAATTGGAGTAATATCATTATTGACTGTCTCTGTCTGATATAGACTTCACAATAACAAATTTGTTAGACGTACATGAGTGCTAAATATGGTTGTTCTACAGGTGGAGCTTCCTGATAAGATACAGTGTGACAGTTATCCTTGTCAAGGCAATGCTGCAGATCCTTGGTTGTATCTTCATCAGAGAAATGCAGGAGCATGCTTGCTGGGCCATCCAGCTGTTTGGCATCGCTTGCATTAAGAAGTTCGGTGGCACAGACACTTCTTCAGGTGAAACAATTTTGTCATAACTAATGTGCTATAAGATTGTCTGCAGTAATCACAAACATTGGGACGGGTCTTGGTAAAAAAAATTAAATGTATTCAACAGAAGTTGGTAATGTAGATCAACACAATCTTAAGGTGGCTCACATCAACTATGAGGATTTGATTTAAAATCTGGCTACTAGATTTTAATTTGGAGATGGAATGTCTTTTTATATCAATAGTCAAAGATAACTCCTAATAACAATGAATGTTGGGTGTTGATTTTTTGTAAGACAGTGTTATTGTTACAGATCAGAGTGAGTGCTCAGTGCCAGTGTCTGATGTGGGGTTGGCTTGGGACGGCTTCTGCTTTGGCTTCTTGATACTTCAACGAAGACTCTTCAACAGCCACTATTTCTTGCACATTGTGGACGAGGCTAAAGCGATGGCAGTTCTCGCTTCTAGGTGAGTTTAAACTTGATGGTTGACTGTATTTACAGATGAAATAGTATTAATTTATATAGTCAGGAATGGGATTAATGTTCGAGTACAGAAGACTTCCTCTCGTTTTGACATCCCTAGAATGGGCTTTCCCTTGAACTGAAATAAGTTTGATCAGTCAGAAACATAATACAAAATTATGTGTTCAAAACTAGTAACCTACAGAAAAGAAGCAATAACATCTGTACTGAACAGCCCAAGACTAACTACTTTTTGGTTTATATGTCTACAAACAAAGGGGCCCATATGTGGCTACATGTAGGTGGCCATGGGAACCAAACAAATCTGTGCAAGAGGGAGCCTAAAGTAAACGGTCATATTTTTTTATTAGAAATATATACCATCAAATGAAGTTTTGTCGCATGAAATGGTTACGGTTATAATCTGGCTTTGTTTCTTTTGTCAAGAAATATTTGAAAATACATGTACATATACATGTGTTGTTGATGTACATGTACATGTAGCTATGTCTAGTAAATGTTTTCCTATTTTTTATATACATTTTTAGAGGGGCAGAGCTTATTGAAGAACTTAGCCACAAACAAATTCAAGAACAATTGGAAGCAGAACGGAAGATTTTGGAAAAAATCAAGTATAAAATGGACAGAATCAAGGCTTCTACTGAACGACAGAAGATGCCTTCACAGTTTACTTACAAGGAACCGTCTAGCCACTTTACAGGTTTGTCATGTTGAATACCTGTTGTAGATTCATATAACTGTGTTATGGTTGGGAATCTGTTTAATATATTCATGCTACAACCATTAATTAGATTTCACCTGGGTTTCATCATACTAGACTATCATAATAGGTATTTTAAAGATTTTGAAATTTGCCTTTTGCTCTCTTTAAATTTTTACCCTTACAGTTTGTGTGGACTGTATTTATTGTAAATTTGTAGCACATAGCCTTACACTTTTACCAATCAATGAGTTCATTGATGGTCATTAATCAAAGTTGGATCTATTGAGCTTTGATATTGCCTGTAGGCTATAATTCATAGGTTCGAGAACCATAAAAAATCAAAGCTGCTCACTATTGGACAACATTAATTGTAACATGGATATGTGACTTGATTATTGTTTTGGTGGATGACCTTTGTCATTCACCTTTAGGTATACAGTTCATCTGTTTACTCCCCACCTATAGCTTGAATGAAACTGATTGCCTATAATGGTAAAAGATGTTTTTTGCCTATGAATCAGAATATGTAAGCCTTTGTAAATTTGAAGTATTTGTTTAAGGATGGACCTTAATAACTTTAACTTTGGTGATTTACAACACTAAATTTGAGAATGTTTGCTGTTTCCCTAAAGATTTGATGTACCAAAGTTAAATTGTACTGTTATGTTATTTAGCCTACATATTTTCAACACATTGAGTCACAAACTAAACATAATGTTTAGACTAGTGATGGACGGATCCAAGAAAATGTCGGTACCGGATCCGGATCCAGATACACACTGTCATAAGGGTGGGTTAAAAAAACGTAAATAACAAAATGCCAATTTAAATCATGCTGTTTAAAATTAAATTGGTAACGTTTAAAGGTTAATATATCTTATGTATAGAGTAATCTCCAGTTGAGCCCGTAGTCCCTCATTTTTTGGGGACACTAAAACTTTTCAAAATCTTAAAATGAAACTGTGCTAAGTATGCACGACCACCAAAAGGGTATCTGTGTATATTTTACTATAGTTCGATCTTAAGTATGCTATATCATGGTTTGTACATGCAGCATCCAATTTATTTATGCCTGGATCACCTCTTGTTAATCTTTTCCTTAAATTCGTTCCAGGTCCACAGTACTAATAGCCGGCTATGTGAAGTTCTACAGGTAAAATACCCTGTGTCTATGTACAAGAAGACCATACTGTGTTCTAACATATTAGATGGGGGAGTCTTGTCTTTTTATACACCCTGTATGTACACAGAAAACCTTGTACACAGACACAAGGTATTATACCTGTAGAATTTCACATACCCGGCTATCAGTACTGTGGACCTGGAACGAATTTAAGGAAGAGATAAGCAAGGGGTGGTCCAGGCATAAATAAATTGGATGCTGCACGCAAAAACCATGATATAGCATACCCAAGATTGAAGGTAGGGATGTGTCGATTCCGGATCTCGAATCCACCGAATCTTAAGAAAAGAGATTCCGAATCTAACCATAGAGATTATTGACGTAGTAATATACAGTACTGTGACATTGATTAACCATAGAGATTGTTGACGTCGGCAATATACAGTACTGTGACATTGACTACCCATAGAGATTGTTGACGTCGGCAATATACAGTACTGTGACATTGCCTAACCATAGAGATTGTTGACGTCGGCAATATACAGTAGTGTGGCATTGACTAACCATAGAGATTGTTGACCATATTGTGATTGTGTGACATTGACATTAGTCTTCTTGTACACAGACACAGATAGTCTTCTTGTACACAGTCAAAGATAGTCTTGTACATGGATAAAGACAGCTTTGTGTTAGTAAAAAAATCTGCAAAAATATGTTTTGTACATGGATACAGACAGCTTTTTGTTAGTAAACAAATTGGATCCATAAAAACCTGATCCAGCCTAAGATCCGAAATTTTTTAGAGACGCTCGGGTGTCTGTTCTAGCTTGGATCCAGCGGTTCCGGTAGTCCGATATCCGGATCCGACCATCACTAGTTTAGAAATACATGATTGCCACACTATTGACTAACATTCACCCCCAGCCACCGCTCCCCTCGCCCATGACTCCTCTCCCTCCATCTCCTCCCCCGTGTCACCGCAGGGGTTCCACACCCCTGTTGAGGATGATCCGCCCCGTGGCGGGTCTCTACTACATCCCCCAACCCCCACCTCTGCCCTGGCCACTGCCTCTGGTCTGGACGGCTACTTGGAGCCTCAGAGGATGAGCTTCGGCTCACCACCCATGTCAGAGCTCCTGCCCCGTGTGCCGTCTATGGACGAGTCGTTCCCCGTGTTCTCCCCCCCGCCCTACGGTGCTGTGGTGCGGCAGAGCGTTGTATTGCCGTCGCCTTGGATGCCGTTATTCTCCACTCCCCGCCACTCTATTGTGTCACCCTCCACACCCAGAAGTCATCATACATGTACGAGATCTGTGTTGTATCTCACAGCTGCTTTAGTGTTGCACCTACTTATAACTTAGTATTACATTAGATTCCAACATTCACAAATTGATGTATATTATGAGCTGGAACATAAAGCAGACCAAAGGCTGATCCATAAAATAGAATTTTTAGCTGTTAAGATTCATTAATTCCTTTTAAATATGAAAAATCATAAGGTTAACATGGGAAACTCCAAAGCCACTGGGGCGGAGCCCGAGAGTCCAACCAGAATAAAAACTACTTAGTTTTCCTATTTAATGCCTAAAAAATCAGTGTACCAAATTTCAGCCTCCTAGGTAAATGGGAAGTGGGAGAATTAGTGATGAGTGAGTGAGTGAGTGAGTCAGTGAGGGCTTTGCCTTTTATATATATAGATACCCATGTCTTGCATCAAGATAAGAATGTAAAATTAGGGATGTTGTTTTTACTGTATAAAAAATGTATATCACCACCTTATAGAATATGAAATATAATTTAAACTTTCATGTTCACGTCAGTCACTATTGTCAGAATAAGTCTGACGCCTTTCAAAAATGTAAATGAGTAAAAGCAAACAATCTAGTGTAAAACTGAGGATTTCTAACTATTTTCACCAGTAAACAAACATTATTCTCATAAGCTTAGCATGGTATTTTGAAACCTTTTTAAGGACAGAACCTTTTCCAGACATGAGACAAGTAGAAAATTCTGTGATAGTTAAGTTGTAAACAGAACTAGAGCTTTCCAACATAATAAGGTTATTAATTGTATACTTAGTATTATTTTAAATATTTTGTTATTATAATTAAATTGATATTGTAAATAAATTGTATATGTGATTGCTTCTTTTCTAGGATATAGGGTTATAGGTGTTATATTGTACTGACTATGTGTTGCTTTTAATTATGAAAAGTTTTTTGTAGACATAATTTGTTAAATGTAAATAATTTTGGACTTTTTGTTAGTGTTTCTCATTGTTTCAATATTATTGTGGCCTATGCCTATACAAATATTGAGATTTCCTTTTTCATAAAATAATATTATCTCTCTTTAATTTGAGAGCCATACTTTTATGAATGATTAATCTAGTCTAGATTGATTTATTAAATTTTAATTTTAATAATATTGGCAAATTTGACTATGTTTTCTAGCTAAAACAAAGACGCTCCCTTTATTTATTTATCTCATGTGACAATCTAATTGTTTTCAAAATCAATTGAAACAATGTCCAAACAAGTATATTTTAATAACCAAACAATGTACATACAAGAAATCACAAATTAAGCATGTTTTGGTCATCATTCATTCAATATTTTTCATTGTACTTTATTTTTTGTTTACATTCAAGCGTCTCCACCTCATCATTTCAGCTTTGTATTTATTTATGTCCTGTATTATATTTCTCTTTGGGTCTCAAGTGTCTAAATTGTATCTAATTTGCGCTACTTTTCATTTGCAGAAGTTTGGTTTGCAATTTTTTATTTACTTTCTGTTCATGTATAAAGTTTTGTTTTGTTTTTCACCGTTGTGTTGGTATGGCAGGACCGGGGGGTCCAGTATTGCGACAGAAGCGTCCAGACAACTCGAGAGCCGGTAACCTAACCTCACATTTCAGGCTAGTCCCTGCTCGGGTGCTTGGGTGTCTTCATGGCCTGCTCATGCTCATTGCTTGTGTCCCTCTCTCCTCGCCTTTGTAAAGCAGACTTTGTACTCAATAGTTTTCTTACTGAAGGTTTACCAAACCTGAGATAGGTATAAGGAAACGGAAACCGGAGCTATAGTCTAAGTAAAGCATGGTTTCCATGAATCGTTACTTGTAAGTGACTATCTGTAGTATTTAAAAAAGGGGAAAAGAGTTCAGAATTCAATTTTTCAAATCTACCGTAAAACAAGACAAAAAGTAACTTAGCTTCTTTACATTCTTTTTTGCTTAATTAAATCAGAAAAAATTGAAAAATGTAAGTAATGTAAATGTAAATAGACCTTTTTTTTAACATGTAAATTAATCAAGAAGGGTTGATTGTTAGAATTTTCTATTGCTGTTTTTACTAGAATCAGCTAGGATAATATTGGTAATTACTTAGAAATAGGGATGGACGAGATTGGATTTTTAGTTCGAGACGAGACGAGACGAGATTTTTTATTTCTCATAAAATTTCGAGACGGGATTTCCTTTCTCATACACAACGGGAAATGCACGTTCAAAATTTTTACCTGATTTTGTAACATTGTTAGATGACTGTTTAAATACAAAAATAATGATAATAGGCAAGAATATTTACAATCTTTTATTAAAAAACATCAGCATAACTTTTTTTTATTAATCACGCCTAACTTATTAAAAATGCGACTAGGAAACATAGTGATATCAGTTAGGATAGAGTTCAACTTATCCTAAAATAAAATAAATCATAAAATAAAAGCAATATTAATTTTTATAAAATAGTTAGGTACTTGTTTTGACTTTTTATAGTAATAAGACATTCCTCACACTGCTTACAGTTAACAAAACTTCTCAAATGTTATTAAACTAATATTATTAAAATAATTAAAGTAATATTTACATTTAAAGAATGAATTAAATAAGAACGTCTTCGCAAAGGAAACGCAACTACAACACGCTCCTGTATTGCGGGTATTGCATTGACTTTCTGCAGGCGTTTTTAATTTTTTTTTTTTTTTTTTTTTATTCTTGTCTCGATAAAAATCTCGGCCAAAAATAAATCTCGTCTCGTGTAACGAGATTTAAAATTTCCAGAAAATTTCCCGAAATTTCAAGATTTGACCATCCCTACTTAGAAACTTGCTGAAACTTAATTTTTGGTGTTCCTTTTATCTGTTTTGAAATTGTAATTTTCATAAAAAGTCTATGTATAATTTATTTCTTATTTTACAATACATAATCAATTTCAAATTTCACCAACATTTTTATTCTTTCAATTTTGTGTTAATGTAGGTAACATGTAACCATATTTTTGGGGATTTTAACAAAATTTTTGTCTTAGTGGGGAATAGAAATTAAAATACTGCTGTATTATTTTTGCAGTAAAAGATTTACAACGTCTGCTTTTCATATGATCATAAAGATAATAATTTTCACCTGTATATAAAGACCACAGCTCGTAACATGTCATGTCCCAGCATATTGTTGTCCCCATTTTTAGCATTGAAGTCTTGCAACCAACAGTTGGTTTACTAAACAAAGGAAACAAAAACACTTTTACGTAAGTTCATCCTTAAGAAATCTGAGGGACGGTAAAAACTGTAGAAATTATCCCTTAGTTTGTTTTGTAGCTTCGCAGTTTAATATATATTATTTTAGTTACTTGTTGGTGTTGTAAATTGTAAATAAGTAATCTAAGACTAGCAAACATTTAAAAAAGTTAACAACAAAAAGTATTTTTATTTAGGACAGGTTTTGCTAACTTGTACTTCTCAAAAATTGAAAATTTCAAACTTAAAAGATCTGCTTTATTTATTTATTATTCCTCTACTCGGTGTCCAGAATGGATTTCCATTTAAATTAATAATATGTTAAGTATATGGATTTTAAAGTTTTAAATTTACATAATTTGTATAGAAAGTATACTTGTAATTTTAAGAAATTCATATTTCAAAAAGTTAAAAAAATCCAAATATTTTAAGACTTTTAATTACTTTCTTGCCCCAAAAGATTTTCTTACTTTGCTCATTTATTTGTACACTCTATTTGACAAGAGTAATGTACAATTCCCAAGTTTCACTGGTTGTCTGATTTCATCAAAATATTGGTTTGGTTCTTAAATTCAGTGCAACTTCTTTGTAGTCACCGCAGTTAGCTATTTGGTATACGGTGCACAAAGTATTTTTAACAATATAACTAATAATAATTATTAACTATTCATCAAAAGTCTTGAAGACGACTGTGGTAAAATGATCAAATAATTTATAGCTAATATACCAGTAAATTATTAAGTAAAAGAATTTGCTGTCAATTTTTTAATCATAAGTGTTTGGTTTTTGTGATTTCCAAGTCATTATTTGTATTTAAGTTCTATCAGTTTTGTCCGAACTTGCTAGCAGGGGTTGCTTAAATTGTTAAACCAATTGTGGATAGGCAAGATTATCTTCTTTTGTAAAATAAATGTGTAAATAAGTGTCAAATGTAAAATTAAACTGATTTTACATGTCAAGCTTATTGATGCTCTCAGTTATATGGGACATAGCGTAAAAGCTTTAAATGTTTCTCTAAATTTAATTTTAGGCATGCTAACTTGTCTGTCTTTGTATATAAAAATGCACACAGCATTAATATACATAACTAGGCAGATAGCCTTGCTTACTGTTGAATTAATAATTTTGAAATATTTTGAAAAAGTTAATCAAACGGATTAGAAGCGTTTGCTTTGTGTCACGTTGCAGCAGAGTCAAGTTTTAGTATAAGAAAGCTTGGTCAACTTGTGCAATTGTAGCATTTTTGTTTAGGTACAAAATCAATTTTTTTTATAATTTAGTTTCACAAAATTTCTTTTAACTAATTTTAGTAGGTTAGTATTTACTAAAATTAGCAAGTTTTTAAGTAGCTGTGGAATCAGGATTGCATAAAAAGTCTGTTTTAAAGTGAATTGAATTTTAATTCAAACTCTTACTTACACAAATATATTTCAAGATAAGTCTACTACAGCCTGGAACAACACATTTTCCCTACTCAATTAAAGACTAAGACAAATCTTATACTTTGTTACAAGTGTATTAGCAGATAGCTAGTAGGTTCTAGAAAATGTTTAGGGTAGTGTTCTAACAAAGTCTGATTGGACAGCTATCCGGTCTGGAGATTACTACATGTTCCAAGACCCGGATGAGGAGTTGGACTTGATAACGGAGCAGGAGGCTGAGAGCACATCCTTCGACAGTGAAGACGACGAGGAGGAGAGATCCAGAGGACGAGGCATCACTGTCAGCAAGGTAGGAACTGTCAGTGAGCTGGCATAGTCTGTAGTAACTACCAGTAAGAGGAGCACTGTTGACAGTGACTGTCAATTAAGTAGGAACATTTTAAATTTGACCGTGATAGTCAGTAATGTAGTCATAGTTGACCATCACTTTGAGTGAGGTAGGCTTCGTTAAAACTGACAGTCACTAACCCATAACTTTTGGTCTTTGGATATACATCCCTTTATCCGTTACCACTTTAGGATAAGTCTTGTTTTCATAGTGATTGTATGAAGGTAAGTTAGCATGCTTTTGATGGTTTGTTTTTGCATATTTTAATTTGGCTGATGCAATTTTTATTCAGTGAGATAACGAATGATTTTTGGCTTAGTAGATATCATCCATTTGTCATTTATGAGAAAAAGCTATTACAGGTATATTTTAATACTCAATCGAATGTAATTTACATTGTCTTAAGTTGTATGTATGTAAGTAAAACGAAATGAGTATTTATAAAAAAACAAAAAAAAAAACTGAGCCCTATAATTTATTAACTTTTTATACAAGTGGCAGGCTATTTAAAAGTAGTAAGTGTAAACTAAAGGCTGTTTTGTACTGTAGTTAATATGTGACTGGAATAATTATTAAAATCACATGGTGTAGCCCATTAAACTTATTGTTTGGTGGTGGTAAGTGAAAACACGTGGTATACACATTAAATATAACACGGTAAAACATTACTACAAAGGGCTTTGCCCTTTGCAAGGGGGTTTGCAATTTGTTTTTGAATATGTTGGTTTTTAGTAATAATTGTGGTACAGCTAATCTGGGTTTGCTCAGATAGGGGAAAAACGTTGTTATTTAGTTATAGTGGACAAGAGGGTCATAGGAGTTAGGAAAAACCAATTAACATGATACCTATACAATTTGCATCACCCTTTTGAAATATTTGAATCAAAACATGCATTTTAGTGCTTGCTTTATTGCTTGAATGTTAAATCTCACTTCATTGATAAGCGTTAAACTTTACCTTCCATTTTTTGAACAATCACTACTTTATACAGGGTGATCAACTCAAGGAGGCCACCATTGGGATATCGGAAACGGTAAGAATTAGAGAAAACTTTAAATGGGGGACATTCCTTTATTTTTTGAGGCAGTTAAATATATGATTTTATTTTTTCGAAATTCAGCCGCCATTTTCCAAAATGGCGGCCAACTTTGAAATTTCTTATAGAACACCCTATATTTTATCATGTTTTCGGATAGAACAGGCAATTTAAAATTTTTTTTATTCTTGACATTTTTTCGATATACCCACTTGTTTAGGAGTTACAGCCTATGGAAAAATGACTTCCGGTGTACATTTTACATCATGTAGCTCCTAAACAAGAAGGTTTATAGCGAAAATTCAAAAAGTAAATAAGTCTTAAAATTGCATCCACATTCCAAAAAGACCATAAAATTTGTTAAAACTATTAATTCTATTATTTACAAAATGGCGGCCATTTTCCAAAATGGCGGCAAACTTGAAAAGTGGAAGACTGTGTATTTTATGGTCTTTTTGGAATGTAGATGCAATTTTAAGACTTATTTGACTTATTTACTTTTTGAATTTTCGCTATAAACCTACTTGTTTAGGAGCTACATGATGTAAAATGTACACCGGAAGTCATTTTTCCATAGGCTGTAACTCCTAAACGAGTGGGTTTATCGAAAAAATGTCAAGAATAAAAAAGATTTTAAATTGCCTGTTCTATCCGAAAACATGATAAAATATAGGGTGTTCTATAAGAAATTTCAAAGTTGGCTGAATTTCTAAAAAATAAAATCATATATTTAACTGCCTCAAAAAATAAAGGAATGTCCCCCATTTAAAGTTTTCTCAAATTCTTACCGTTTCCGATATCCCAATGGTGCCCTCCATGAGTTGATCACCCTGTATAGTGAGTGGGTCTGAACAAACCCAGGCTAGATGTATTTGTATAATCAGTAATCACAAGGGTTTTGGTTCATGTTTCCCTGTAATTGTGGTTTAGATGTATATTTTAAAGGTGGACCATTGCTTGTATATTTGCAAAAAATACTCATTCTTTTAAATTTCAGTTTTCCTACATTTCACTAGGACATTGACTTTCCATGCTGATACTTTTATCATCTTAAATTTGTCTTAAATGATGGGTTAACTGAAAAATTGGCTATCCAAAACGGCTCTCCCCCCTTTATTTTGGTTAACCGGGGTTCTACTGTACTTAATTTTTTTTATCATTAGAATTCTGGATGTTCCTTAGAAATTTTTCTAATTAGGATTAACAAAATAAAAATCTGACTAGATTTTTGAAACTATCAGATTAAATTAAAGTAACCCCGGCTATACCCTTTGTTCATGTTAGTTCAGCAAATACCAAAATGGACTGATTTTACAAGTGCACAACAACTTATTGATTCCATTTATTCCATTCTTGTATTAAAGTTGTAGCCAGATTAAAATTAACTAAGTTGAATCAAGCCACTAACAAGTATTCTGACGTAAATTACTGATTTCTGTAGAAGACACCATCCATTGGAGCAATCCAAACCAAAAGACAACATATTGTAGTTATTTAACATATTTTTTTTTTTAAATAAACTATTATTATACTATAACAAAGACTAAGAGAGAAAATATAACTTAAGGCATCACAATTTGAGGGTGGCTTATTCTACTCGGTTGTTTTTAATGGAAACGTGGCTACAGCTGGTCCATATAAAACATCTACTTCCATATCTAAAAGACAATACTGTTAACTTCAGTCATATAGCATTTATCCGTATACCTGTACATATATTAGATTACAAAATGACCTCTGGCTGAACGGATGTGTGAGTGTGTGCGTGTGTGTGTTCAGTTCCTCAGTTCAGCCATGAAGACCGGAGACATGGGAGCAGCAGCGGACATGGCTCTGACCGATGAGAAGAGAGGGAGAGAGAGAGGCGCCTCACTGTCGCCCAGGCCGGAGGGGGAGGAGTTGGCCCTTCTACGACAGAGTGGCACGGACGACGAACCCTCCACCTGGCAGAGTGCTAGCTCTGTGCATGTGAGTTACTCTTTCTCACTATACGGACAACGGTAGGCTATGAAGACGGTTGCAATAAGTCTAGGCTCTACAGGTTTTTTAGCTATTGTTATGATTTTTAAAATGTTAAGTTTAATTTATTAAAATTATAAGGTTTTGGCCTTTGTTGGTTTGTCAATTTGAATAGGTTTGATTTTCTTCCACTGTGGGCAGATTTATTCAACATTGTTCATGTTAGGTTTGACTTTGATTTTTTTTCTTTTGTCTACGACAGTGGCTTTTATAGTGAGGTCAATTTAAATCCACTCAAGAAAAGCTGTCCAAACCCATTAAAGTTTTGTGGATGTGCCGGCAATTGAACCTGCCCCTACTGCACAGAAGTCCGAGACGCTAACGACTAGGCTACCAACACACCCAACTCTAAGTTTGTTGGTTTTTTTGGTTTGCGGCTGACCTGTCCCAATTTATATGATCTTTTATTATAGCCTACTCCACATATAAAATTATAAGATCATAGATTATTATAGTTGTTGTTGGCCTGTCAGTTTTGTGTGATAGGTTAGATTTTCCTCCAATTGAGGGGGTTTTCGTCAAAATTTTTGTAAGTTTGTTTTTGGGATGGATATTTTAAAAGGTGATATATTTGATGTATGGTTTTAAGAACATGTTGTTTAAGATTGACTATAAGTTTTCTGTGTGCTGAATGGGTCATGTAGGGTTTTTTCAAATTGACGGTGGTGTCGTACTGTAATCCAGCTACTAGGAGGTAACAAATTGTGGATATTTATTGGCTTGCACTGTGAATGCGATACTACCTGCCATGGATTAACGTCTGCACTAGTGAGTACTACGACTTTCCGCAGTACTCTCCTGATAATTAGACCAATTCGTTAATACCAAGGCAAAAATGTGGTTCGGATTCCACTATAAACTGTAGGTCCCTTAGTAGCCATTAGCTGTATGGGGATTAATTAACAGCTGTGTCTAAGGAATATGTCGGCCTTAGCCACTAACAAGACTACAAGATCTCACCACTCATCCTACACTTATCTCCATTCATACTTGGCTTTAAATACCTACTTTGTATGGTCGCCATTTCAATGAAAAGTATTAAAGTATTATCATTTGATGATAGGTACAACACATGCCTTATCTAGTGATGAACATTTTGTGCTATCTCAGACTGAGACTAAATATACATTTCCATGCCAAATCTGCTTCAGAAGATATCATTTATATTTAATTATATGTATTGTTTTTGTTTATAGATTATTTGATTGGATTCCACATTCCTAAACATTAGCTGGTAGAAAAATGGTTTCATTTCAGTCAAGAAATCAACTACCTATTTAGCTTGGGTTGTAAGTTTTGTTAGTTAGGATGTGAAAAACAGTGTTTGCCTTACCATTGAAATTGTGTACAAACTCGATAGTGTTATTACTGAAAAGGTTTCCAGGAAAGCTTTTGGTTATCTTGCTTTGTTGAATCGTTATTTGTTTGATTCATGGTCAAATACTGAACGTTTTGGTTCTAGACATAGTCAAAACAATTTGTAATATCTACATAACTGGATTTGTGTTTTGGAATTTATTTTTCAGGTTCATCAAATGTAATAAAAGCTTTCATTATTATTTAAGTAAGCATTTGGTGAGTCGGTGGCTCCAGTCGGTAGCGTCGCGAACTTCGGGCCCAAGGCAGTAGTGTCGTGGGTTCGGATCCTGGTCACTGCCACTAACTTTTATCAGTACAGTTCACCTTTGTACTGTACCGGCTCACCCCTTGCTTTGCTGGATACGTTCCACGCACAGATCTGTAGTCTATGTGGACGGGCAAATGCAAGGTTAAAAGAGGCCGCCAACCTCTTTAAAAAAAAAAAAAAAAAAAAAAAAAATTCCATTGATCAAGAAACATGTATGGATTGATCAATCATATTAAAGCTATAGGTTTAATCAGGCTTCTGTGTTTTTAAGGAAGGAAATAAACTAATTTTGGTTTATTTTTAAACTTAAATATATAGGTAGTTATATATTTATGTAATCCACTGTAACCGTGTATAGCACATTCTATGTTGAAACTGATTTTTATGGCTTTTAGTTTATCTGTATAAAATAACCTACCTTTTTAGTTGCTAGTGTGTCTTAAGTAATTGCTACAGAGAAAACCTTATAAGTCACATTTTTTTGGTACCTGAAACCCTAATCAAAATAAGTACATGTCACAATCCTTTTAATCCCAATATTTGCAGCATCCACAAAGTATAACAACAAGCTTTCAAAGGTTATTGTTTATTTGTACTCAAGTTTTTTCTTTCATTCTGTTCCTCAACGTTATATTTAAACGTTTATTGTATTTGTGTTCTCAAAGATGTCCATGTTTTCATTCCCCGACAACTCATCACACAGTTCATCCCTCCATACAAACACATAGATTTTAATAAGCTTAAAGTTACAATTATATCACACACTTAAACACTTCTGTCTCAAACACATTGCATGGTTTATTTACATAGTTTGAGTTAAATTGTAAAATTATCAATGCAGTTAGTGAGTATCTATATATTTAATACGCGACATGAAACTTTGTGAACAATAAGGCTTTTTAGTTTTAAGATTTAACCCCACATACTATATACCAAAATGTTCGTCTAGGTGTGTAGATGTGCAAACTGGCTTTAGATTTTCGAAATATATCTTTTGAAGGGCGTGGGCTGCCCTCAAAGGTCCTTCCATAAGGATAACATTGTGATTGATTTGAATGTTATTATATTCTGAAACAGATGGCAATACATTAGTAAAAGAAATCCCAGCTGTTATGTTTGGTTTTGAAATGTAAACAGTTTGCATGTTTTTAAAAAAATAATTAGAAACCCGGCAACATATTTGGTGTAAAAGACAACAAATGGACTTGAAGGTTCGTAAACTCAACTGGCTTCTAGGCAAAAAATCAAAGCTTTCGTTGACCAATAAACTTACACTTTACAAAGTTATGATCAAACCTATTTGGACGTACGGGATACAGCTTTGGGGAACGGCAAGCAAATCCAACTTAGCAATTATTCAAAGATTTCAGTCAAAGGCGCTGCGAAGAATAGTTGATGCTCCGTGGTTTGTCTCGAATCAAACAATCCATGAAGATTTAAAAATACCTACAGTGATTGAAGAAATAACGAGAGTTAGCAAGAAATATCAAGAAAAACTCAACCCACCAGAACAATTTAGCCTTTAACTTACTGGACAATAGTGAATTTTCCAACAGACTAAAAATTGCAAAAGTTCTTGAACTCCCATACCGATTTACATAGTTTTAGTTACATGATATGACTATTTATTTTTCCAAGATCTTTCACTGGGGAGATTCTTGGTCAAGTCATTTACTTATATTATGCCTTTTACTAATTGTTCACAGTAGTACTGAACAGATTGTAAAATAAAATAAAGTTAAAAAAAATGTTACCTATGGGACACGACGGGATAAAAGTTTTACATTTTATTTTAGTTTAAACATGCAAAGGACCCGACGACAAAGAAATATTGCAGGTCGGACACGGTGAGTCAACATACGGCAAGCAATGCAAAACGTAATGAGCCCAGATGAGGAGCTGGAACAGTTAGTGGCAACGTGTACTTACAAAATTACACTGACAAATACAAGAACTCAGCAGCATTCACTCGGCGAGATGGCATTAAAATGTCAGAAATGTGGTGTGCCACATTTTAAAGAAGAATAAAGAGGACGAGGCGAATGATTTTCATCCTGCTGCAATAAAGGAAAAGTGAATCTACCACCATACCGAGAAAGCTATTATATACAGAGCCTACCAAATGGAGCAAATCATTTGATCAGAAACTACAAAGAGAACATTAGATCGTATAACTCTGCGCTCGCAATGGTCAGCACTCGAGCTAAAATTGAAGAACATAACGGTGGAGGGCCTTTCATGTATAAGGTGCACGACACAGTTCATCACTCTATTGGCACCTTTCAACTGTCAGAAGGTGGGGACCATATGATGGGGGGAATGAAGGGGGGGGCATATGGGTGTCAGATACCACATATGCCCAAATTTATATCTACGACACGACGGATCCGCTGTTCAAGAAAGAATGCCAAACAAAGCTAATGGCTCTTGCAGCACTGAACGCATGCACATTTTGACTAAACATTTGGTTGATATTAATCCATTTGCGCAGGTTTTCAGCATAATAAGATCCGTCCTGCAAAATACTCCTACTGAACAGCAAAAATAACTTAGAATGTATATAGCCAACGATCGAGCTCAAGACCAACGTCGATACAACGACGCAACTTCTACGTTGCTACAATATATCCTAATTTATTCGTGCGAATTCGCACGGGTTCACCTAGTATTGATAAATTCAGTACTGCTCTAAGCTCTAAGCTTTTTAGATGCAGAATGGTTTAGAACCTTGAAGGTATTTACATATGGTTTCTTTATTTATAAGCCTACCTTCTTATCAACACACTTTGTAAACAAATGTAGCTTTCTTGGTTTATCTATATATAAAGCCAAAAGTACCCATGAACTTTTGAGAAAACTACAAGTCACACCCCCATAAACCATATACTTAAAATGTTCGTCATGACGAGAAACCTTGCGCAAAATTATTCATTATTTCATAAATTGCCCTATAAGGTCGTAATTGCTTTCCAAAGGGAACTTTCCATTTACCTAATGTTAAAAATACATCAGCTGTTATTATTTGTTTGTATTACCATTACTGTATTCTGTTTTGTTTATTTCATCTTAACTTAACCAATCAATAGTTTTATTAATACTAATGTAGTAAAACGAGGTGGAGCCCGTGGGTAACAGCTAGTTACAATAGATTTGTTTCACTTAACACTAACTAAACACACATGCTACTGCACCTGTGCACTTAGCTTCTAAATTTGTATAAGCAAACATTTTTAAACACCTCTTTTAGGTCATTTGTTTCCTTCTATTTATATTCTTAAAACTTATTTAATCAAACAAAGAAAGGCGAGACGAAGGAATGGAGGTGATATTCATTTGCTCTCAAGAAAATATAAATTTCCAATCAAAAGTGTAAAAAAATGTGTAAAAGTGAGCACCCAACTGCAAGATATAGATTCGCTCCTTTCATACTATATGGTCTCCGCCATCCGTTTCAAAACAGTACAATTTTAGGTTCTTTCACATTACACAGTTATATAAAAGTATGATTTTTGGACCAATAAAAGAGGGAGACTCGTGGAGAATAAGAAAAAATATGCAGTTGAGAGAATTATACAGGGTGGTCCACGGGAAACGGGTAAATTTAAAAATACTATTGCTCTTAAAGTTTTAAACATATAAACGTTTTATTGACATAGAAATGAAGGAAATGGGGGGTCATTTACAAAATATACCTTAAATTTTAAGTTTGGAAAATTACATCATGCAAATTGGGGTCATTGAAACAGACACATTTTCAAGCCTTGCTCGAAAACGATTCACTTTGTTCAGTTTTACTATTCATTGATCAGTTCAATTTGACTCCTGATTGCGGCCTTCAACTCTTCCAGAGTACGTGGTTTTTCTTTTTAAACACGTGTCTTCAGATGACTTCACAGGGATAAGTCGCTCATTGATAAGTTCGGTGAATGTAGTGGCCACACAACATCTCCAAACCATGAGATCACATGCCCAAGAAAACCATTCAAACTGCTGCCATAGAGGCATTGGCCGCAGTAGGCACCTGTGTGTGATTGGAGGCATTGGCATGTTTAAGCAGTAGCCCCATCTTGTTGAAACCATTTATGTTCTTGATGTCAACAGTCAAGGTGCGACAACTGTTTGATTCAGTGGCAGTGGACGGCTGCAAGACGGTATGGTGTTCTGCCGCCCCCGTAACCGTGTAGTGTGAAAGTGAAAGCTCTCATGGTCTTCTTTACTCTACAAAAAAATAATTACCCTTACGGTTTTCAAACTTACGGGAAAAACCGTTTAGTATGAAAGTAGTGTTAAGGAAATCTATTGGATGGTAATTTTACTGATAAAAATGTTTACAAAAATCATTATAGTTATGCTGTATTGAACTCAATTTTATTCCAGCAACCTTGCAGTTCATGCATTGTGAATGTTTATTTAATGCACATGTCTGTATTTTCCTTAATTTAAACTATTCTTGCAAATTTATATTTTCATCTTTTCATTTATATTTTAATTGTTAAATGAAATATAGAATTTACATATTTATTTAAATATGCTGAAATCTGAAAGAAAACATAACAGAATAAAGGATAAGAGTAAAAAATGATGACTAACACTGGATAAGATTAACTTACAAATAAAGGATAAAACTGTTTTCACAACCAAAAGTAAAAAGAAGAAGCAAAAAGTTGAAAAATACTTTAAGATTTAACTACAGTTTAAAGGCCTTGTCCAGAACTCTCAATGAGCCAATGAAAACGTGAATCTGCTACTGAATCTAGGAACGATGATACTGTTGTGACTTTTAAAAGTATAAATTTCTCTAGTATATTAGATCAGCCGATAGCAATGGTGTCACATTGTCAGTTCTCTTTCCTACTGCCTCCTTTGCTGGCCTAGCCCGCTAGTCAGTGACAGCAGCACTCTGTCAAGTTGGTATATGCACTAGCAGATTCAAATGCAACATTTATATTGGCTCAGTGAGAGTTCTGGTTTAGGCCTTTATTCTGTGAACCACCCATACATCTTTCCCTATACCAGAATTAAGATACATAGTCCTTTAAGTTTTCTTTGGGTTTCAGGTAATCGATAACACCACCTGTGCTTCTGTACTTCTGCCTACTGATTTATTTATGTAGATTGATTTCACAAATCTCCAAGATACCTCTATGCTTTGTATCATCTAGATGTATCTGTTTGATTTATCTTCCATTATGTGTTCACTGTTTATGTATATAATACCTTTGTGTACATTGTGGGATAAGGTGTTTTACCAAATACTTTTCATACACATGGTTTCAAGTTAATTAATAGCAAATACTTATCATATCTGTGCTCTTTGACAGTTTTTTATAACTTTATTTTTCACAAAAATAGCCACTTGTTTGTTATTTCCATTTTTTCAGTGCAGATTAACTGTCTATTTCACCACACACCATTGATTCATTCTACTAACATAAACTGTGTGGCTCTTTAACCTCATCATTGTATCTGTACAAATGTTTGTAGCTGTGTTGGGTGGTGTTTGGTGTGGTTTATTTTAACTTATTTGTGACTAACATCGATGTGTACAGTCTATGTGTTTCTGTGGTGTAATTTTTATCAAACTAATAGTTCTTTGTGTTATTAATCTTCTTTTATTCTGAATCGGACTAGTGTTTGTGATACAAGTTCTTAAAACATTTTAATATAACTCCTACAATATGTTTATTGTTTAGATTGCTTCCTCTTACAGCAGAAGATTTTTAAAAATATTTCTATCTAAGAAAAAGTGGTCCAATGACATGTGGGTATTAGAAGAATTGAACAACACTCATTAAGAATCTATTGCAATTTTCTTTATAATTCTGTAATATTCTTTTCTTACAATCAATAGTGGCTATTGAGCAAATTAAAAAATATTATTTTTTGCTGCTGCACGGTAACAAATTTGATTTGGTTATTTTCAGGGCACATCATCTAGTCCTCTCCCTGGCCCTAGCACTTCGGGACAAGTCACTGAAAAGAGGTTTGTTGATTGGTCAATAATAACTATAGGTCATAGACTACGCAGTACTCATACACTCTCACAGATTTGGAGGATTATATTTACTATAGTAGGATTAACGTAAATGAGAAAACTTGCTGAATATCTCTCTTACCGAATTGTCATCCTTATGAAATAACTGAAGGCAGTTTTAAGTAAGTTACATACAATTGCGTAGATCTATTATTTAAAGTTATTTTCCTAATTTTTGAAATGGTGGCGAAATAGAAGATATTTCTAAACTACTATTTATGATCTGGTATTGTAACCGAAGAGCACATGACACACTGTAAAACGTGGCTTATAATAAGTGAATAATTTCAGAGTTATATTGAAAGACTGAGTATAAGTCTCTAGTTGAGCACGATGATGATCTCTGAGACACCACTGTAACATCTTTAAAAAAAAAATTAATATCTTGAAAATGATCATGAAAGTTTACAGTCTAAGTGTAAATATACTGAATAGTGTTGGAATACATATTTTATTACATCCTTAAGCTATCATGAACAGGTACAATACTAATCAAGATGTTACTCAAATAATAACTCTTAACTAAAATCTGAACCTAATAATATGTAACCAGCATGAATGTGAATGTGAATCTTTATCTTTGATTAATATATCATCTGTAGTGTTAAGTTCTGAAAGCTCTATACTTAAAAACAATACAGTAGAGTCCCGCAAACTCGGCACTCGATAACCCGGCAGTCTGGAAAACTCGGCCATCAGCTGGCTCAGAAAATTAGTGATTTTTTTTTAGTCTGAGTTAAACATGAACACAAGCCAGCTCAAGTATAATCATTTGCAACTCGTATTAAAGATTTATTGTACTATATCTGATGACTTGAGCTATAACTTAAAATATAAATCTAATTAAAAAAAGGTGTTAAAAAGCTTAAAAATTGTATTGTTCTTGTTTTTAACCCTAGTTCCCAATAACCTGGCATTTCACAAACTTGGCAACCTTCCAGTCCACATTACGCCGAGTTTGCGGGACTCTACTGTACAGATACTGGGTTTTGTCTAAGTCCTCAGTCATATACTATATGTAAAAAAACTTATTCACACTTAGTTGAGTGATTCAAATAAATTTTTGGTTTTCTTTTAATATTTTTACTCTAATTAATTTTTAATGACTACAGCCCTGTGGAAAAAAGGAAGAAAGATCAGGATGAAAAAGATGGAGAGAAAAAAAAGAAGCGAGTCAGTATAGTTTCATCTGATAGTAAAGGTAATTTTTTATATTAATTTATTAATACTTTGTTGTGTTGGCTAGTAAGACTCAAATTCTTTATCTTTGTTATGACTCACTAAATCAATCTACTAAGCTGGCAGAGGGCGCTTGAAATTGAAAACGTCAAGAGTCACACATAGTCTTTCTGACCAACTATAAAAAAGCCATATTTCAGTTAGAATTTTATTTCAAGTGCAATAAATCGTAAAAATAGTATACAATAATGAACATTTATTTTAATATGGTTTTAGATATTATTATGTATGTATGTATTTTGTGTATCATGCATATTATGTATCTATGTATTTACATTTAATGGGTTAGTAAGTATATCATGTATATGATTGTTTACATATGCTGAAGATAATAAAACATAATATGGAGAGGTATGATGAAAACAAAAACAATGTAGCATAGGTTTTGTGTAAACCGTGTAAAATAAAAATCATTAATGGCTGTAAAACTTGTATACAGCTACAGATGACCTGTGTAGACTTCAGTACTTCTACCCTCACTGACTAAGATCAGGCATTTAATAAATGGTCCCAACTAAGGAAACAGTTAGTTTGGGACCATTTATTAAATGCCTAATGATCAAGGACAGCCGGGTCCAGTTTCAAACCATTCAAAAAACTACTAAACAAATTGTTAGGCAAAATAGATTACTATAACCATTCAGCTAGCTAGCTACTCAAATATAATTTAGCTAAAGAAGATGTTGTAATATATTGTTATGTTGCTAACTTTTTCAGACAAAGAAAGCATGTCTGAGAAGTCTGAAGAGTCGTTGTTCAACAAGATCATAACCTTCCTCAAGTTCCTCTACGCATTTGTGAACAGCTGCATGGTGACGATGACACGCTACCTCAACAGATTCTCTCGGGACTATCGCTACGTCATGCGGACACTGGCTATTGAGAAGAAATTGCTCAAGGTATGTTCCTGGTTTGAAAATTACATATAATGTAATTACAGTACAACTGTATTTATGTAGTACTATAGTAATTGGACCTTTTCCGTTAATTCACTAACACTAGTTTTTAGAGCAATAAAGAGAAAAGAATTTATTTATAAAAATAAATACGTCTGCCTTAAAACTAGGGTTGCCAATGACACAGAAAAATGTACACTTAAAATATTGAAGGATTATAACAGCTATAAGACTGATTAATTTTGATATTTGCCATATAAATGATTTCTCATTATAGTCAATGAACCTCTTAATGTTTCTTCTTGAATAATAATTTTCACAAAGGATTTGTCCAAATCATTGTTTCCAAAAGTTCACAAAAAATGTTGATAATGTTCCTCTAGAACCAATAAACAATCCAATCACCTCATTTTCAAAATTTCAAAATTTTGCTTGAAATATTCAAAGGTAGATCCATAATTTTTTTTCTTTTCTTCGTTTACTTCATTAGGTTGATTTAGGTTTATTTCAAATCAAATTGTTGGATCGAGAATTATGCCTTTGTTTGTTTCTCTTTCGATCAATAAAATATCTACTCTTCTGGTGCTTCCGTTAGAAGAAAGACATTGTACTTCTTCTTGCACTTCCATGTATTATACCTTTTTCGGAAGGCATTTGCTATGATACTTCTTATTTTGTGGTGCCCTGTGTTTCTTAGAAGTTCACCAAATGGACAGAAGCCAAGGGCATGTGCAATGGTTTCAATCTCACCACAGGCATGCCTGCAGCGGTTATTGCCCTGAATTCTGCCGTGGAGAACACGCACTGGCACCACATTTGCAATCATGATTATACTGTCTTTCCACTCAGATTCTGACAAGCCTTCTTTATTAATAATACTTTTATTTCCCGGAGTATAGTCCTTGACAAGTTCAACACTTTTACCCTTCTGTTTTAAGCTTTTCCAGTTTTCAACCTCTTTTTCACTTAAGTTTTTTCTTAATTTTTGGGTATTTATTGTTTGATTACAATCAATTTCATCTAGGTGTAGTTTTTTTTTTTTTTTTTTGTTTTCTATCCGTTTAAATTTTTCTGCATTTATTGTATGAGTATTTGTATGGAATTAACCAAACCACATTCTACTACTGGACCAGTGGTAGTGAATTAACAGCAAAGGTCCTTGTAATTTTAAATGAAATATTTCTAATTTGTGTTTTTAATTTAATTTGTTCAGGAGAGACAAGGGTTTGGCCAAGGTGTGAGGACTGGTTCATCAATGATGTGGCAGCCGAAGCCCGGCCTCTACTCGGTTACAACAAAGTCCAAAACTAGGTTTGTTTGAAAAACTAGTTATTTCTCATATAAAGTTGAAGTAAAATTTAATAAATTAAATAATTAAAAACACTGTTGCAAAAGAACCTCAATAATAAAACCATTACTATCTAGAGTCCTTCAATAACAAGGGAAATTTGTGAATTCTTAAATAAGTATCACAATTTACAGTTTTATAGGTCTACAACAAACATTTGTCAATACATCCTTTCATCCTTTTTATAAGTCTTGTGTACACAGGTCACTTAGTTTGTGTTGGTGCTAGTATTGAGAGGTCAATACAAGCTGGATCAATATAAGTAATAAATAAAATGTATCAATCTGTTTGTAATTCGAAGTCTTAATAATGAAAGTGTCAGAAAAGGATTTTAATAATGAAATCGGTAAAAGAATATAATACTTGGGTGACGATAAACAGTTTTAAAATGAATACTTATGTACACTAAAGGGGGGTAAGTGGATTAATATAAGAGGTAAATTAATTTGCCAAATCATATTCAGATCAGGGTGCTAAATAGCAAAAATAGTTGCACAAATAGCTTTAGAAAGTTGATTTGATTATTACTTAAATCCTGTACACTGGTGATTGATAAAAACCACTCATAAAAGAAAGAGTTGGGGTTTTTTCATCACGGAACATTTTATTAATTGTGTACATAAAAGATATTGCTGTTACGGTAACACTTTGTAGAGTTGGTTAGTTTTCATTCCCGTTTACGGTTGTTCCTTTCAGCTCCGATTCTTCTGAAGCTCATGTTGAAATTGAATCTCCGTCAATCGATGAACCGGTTGAGAGGTTTGTAGTATGTTTGCCGTCTTTGACAATTTTCACTGATTTCTACTTGATCAAACTTTTCTCTGATCGATTAATCCTTTCTCTATTGAGATTTCAGCTCTTTGGCACTACCAGTCATATTATGCACAATTTCCCCAAACTTTTATGCATGTTTACTAATTTCTATAACTCTTGTTTGAATTTGTTTGGTTTTATGAGACTGATTTTCCTAGTTTGTTGTGGTTTTGTTTAAACGTTGTTTTGAGTAGTCAAGCTGTTTGTTAACCTCTTCAACAGTACAAATAAAAGTAATAGGGAAGAAACAAATTGGTAAGTGACGGTAGTTTTTTTAAATCCCTATTTAAAATTCTGAAGTGATCATTGACCTACCTATTTCGGCCATTACAATTATTAATTCAATTCCCTTCCCTTTATTAACAGTTAATAGTATTGGCTCTGTTAAAAAAAATGAGAGCTCTGTGTACATAATCAATGGCCGATTAGGAGAAAGCTTTTTCAAGTTTCGAAACTCAGAATATTTGGTCACTTAATCACAGGTATGTTGACCAAACACTTCTAAATGATAAAATAAAAGTTTGAGAGCAAAAAAATAGTCTTGGGCCAGGTGATTCTAGAACCCATTCATGCCGTTGTTACAAAGACTCTCCTACTTGCATGTTATTGAGCAAAAACCTTCAAGGAACATCCCTTAAGCACACATTCTGTACAATTATGTCCAAGTGATCTTTCCACACTCCACTCTACAGTTTATATCCCTGCTGTGCTCTTGTACGACACGTTGCCACTAACATTGTTTGACAGGTTACAGTGTGCAGCTCTGCCGCTCATTCGTATCCTTGCCCCCAGCCTGGAGCGAGGGCTGGACTCGGAGTGCAGGTAACCCGGACTCAACGCAACAGCCTCGCTGATTATTTGTCGTCCGTTGCCTCGTCAAGTGCTTCGTCTATATTACGTTTTCAGGAAACCAACCCTTGAATTTTTTTATCTGAAAAAGGGTTTTAACTTTTTAAATTTTCAGTTGAGACATGAACTGTACAACAAACTGACTTGCAGCTGGTGTAGGAAATGATCTAAGGATTTCAAAACTTGGTGGGATTGTAATAAATGTATCAGTAGGGAATATAAAACACGATTTATTGAACAAAGTCATTTAGTACTTAAGTGCCATGAGGGAGTATGAGGGAATATGTTGACTTAAATGCACTTATTTAAGTTCTAAAACGATATAAGTGACAGCCACATCACACCCATGTATCCATTCACAACAGTGTCAGTTGTGTACAAATCCTAAATATATTCGAATTGCCAGAACTATCTTCAAAAGACAACTTGTGTACAATTTGCTTCAAGGGCTACATATCATTTTCCTACTTAATTTAAGCACAGCTACTCATACTTGAAACAATCTAACAAATTTATTGTAAATATAAAAATTGGTCTATCATGATTTGTTCATTTTACACCTTTTAGCTGACCATCATTTTATGTTTTCAAGATTCTTAAACAATAAAAATACTTTACAGTGCAAGGAAAATGCGGTAATTGGAAGTTTTGAGAACGGGATGCTTGAGCAGAAATTTAATTTCATATGATTGGTAGCAACCAAAGTCTGAAATAAAAATCTTTTAACATTATCCCTCTGTTTAGTCGGTTACACAAGGGTTGGTTTTCCTGTCATTGGCTTCTCTGTGGTATTATTTCAGCTGATGTTGCTCCTTGCAGTTGTTGTGGTGTCTTCTCTTCTTTAGCTTTTGATTTCGCTCTTCAGTCTCTATACATTTTACCTCAGTGGCTATCCACCTCAAATTGTTATCACTCAATTATTTTCAGGACGACCGTTCTACCTCTACTGTACTTTGCTTTCTTTCTTGTTTACAGATTTTGTATGTGTAAATAAACACTAATGTTTAATGTGCCGAGTATATTTTTGTAATATCTTACAAAAGAATGAATTAATGGATTAATGATTTGTATTAATTATTTTGTACTACAGTACACCACTTTTAATCTTATTTGTACATATTTTATGTATATACAAATAATATACGATTTCCTATTCCAGCAATTGCTTATGTACATATTTTTAACTGTTGATTATTCTATTGAACATTAGCTTTGTCTCTATCCATGTTCTACTTCTTTAATGTTGCTATAAATATTTCTTCAAGTTTCATTTTTATTTTGAAGGCTTATATTTTAGCTATTAAGTTTTCTGACTTTCCTACTGTAAGAAAACAAACATACTCTTAAGTGTGTAGGAATTATTAAACTTTTTTCAATCATTCTTCTTCAAAATAACGGGGCTATTCAGAAAGTAGGGCAATTTCTGTCTGACACCAATACGCACTTGCTGTTTGTGTACTTAAACAAATGTGTTCGCTTCAATGACTGTACAGCCATCACAGTGAAACTGTGGTTGTGCTGCCTGTTTTTGTAAAATTAATGTTTGAAAAGTTTTCTGCAATTTAAAATCCCTCCAGTTGTCAGGTGGGGTCTGTAATACAGTTTCGTAGCCCATGAACTTAAAATCCTATAACATTTATCTTCAATTATATGAAGTGTATGGAAACAAACGTAATAAAGGAAAGTTCTGTCTGGAATGAATGCAATCAAATAAAGTTGACGTCTAAAAATTTTGTTTGCTTGATAATGACTCACATGGAAAATCACACTTTAGATCTCCTTCAATCATTAAAACGGACAATTTTACGTTAAACACTCAGGTCAGGTCAGGTTCAGGTTCAGGTCTTGCTCCAAGTGTCTTTCGATTCCCAAAATAAAGACATAGTTACCAACATAGTGCTTTGATTATTAGAAGGAACTCAAATTCAAATTGTGTGTCACCGAGTGGCTGAGCTTGTAGTCAGCAGAATTTTTACAACAAAGGAATTTCTAAGCTTGTCCACCGCATTTATAAGTACCTCAAATTGTTTGGCGACTAAGTAGAAAAGTAGAATTTTAAATCTTTCAAATGTATAAAATAACATTTTTACCTGCTCAAACTTTTTTATTTTTATATTTCAAAACGTTACCTTAATTTCTGAATAGCCCTTATTTCTTATTTCTAAATAGCCCTAACAAAAGGACAGTTAATATATATTTTTTTTTTTTTGGTATAGGACTCTGTTTACCTTAATCAGTGGTCATCAACAATAATCAATTACAAAAAGCTGTTGTCAATCTAAAGCCACCTGTTTCAAAATACACTTCTTGTACAATCTACTGATAGTGTGAAGCCTTCCCGATCACTACCCAAATGTGTACAATTAACAAATGGTTTTGGCTTTAAAATTTCAATAAGTTGGTACATTTACAGTCCACTCCAGATAGAAGAGATGGAGCAAGAAAGAGAAATGAGTGCAGCCGATCAACCTCCCATCATACGCCTAGCTTTGGCAATATGGTACGTCACTTGCATCTAGTCTTTCAAGTTTATAGAAAGACTTGAACTTGACATAAAGTTATAATAAGATAAACTTATAGAGTAATTTAAGTTAAAAAAATTAAAATGACCGCCATTTAGAAATTTTAAGTCGAATCAAGATGAATTTTTTTTTTAACATTGGTCTTTTTTACTTTTACCTACATAACAAGTTTTATAAAGATCGGTTAAAAAAATTCAAAAATAAAAATGTTTATGTAAAAAATACAAAATGGTGGATATCTGGTTAACGAAGCGATTTTGGAAAAAATGTTATTCTTGATTTTCTCTTTATTTTGACCCATAGAACCATTTCCCAGAGTTTGGCTGTTTACTTACGCGACACCCTGTATAGTCAAAATTTATTTGGTTTTGAGATCATATAGGCCTATCTAAAAAAATTTTGGCTTTTCTAAAAAAAAATGTATTTTCCTCCCTCATGTTTGTTTGCATTGCCAATAAAATTAATCACCAATCCGCTCACTGAATATTTGGATGAATATAAGTTAGGGGTGTGCGAGTATTCGAACATCAAGATTTTTCGAACTTTTTGAAAATCACGAGCCGAGCCGAATAGCGTCCTATTCGGCTCGGCTCGTGATTTTCAAAAAGTTCGAAATGTTCGAGCCGAATACTTATTGAACTAGCAAATAAAAATTAAATTAATAAATAAGGAACTAACTTTCATTTAAATTTACTCTCCTCCGTTTCATAATTGTGTCTTGATAAACACGAACCTCAGCTCAGTCAAGACGCAATGATTATCGATCGTAATTTTGAGGAAACTATCACCTGTCGCGTTGTCTTTCTAACACAACTATTCGTATCGTAATATACAACGCAGTGCGAGTGCGTGATTGGCTAAGTCGCTATGACGACACACGGTTGCCGTGGCGACCTACAGTGCGCACTGAGCACTGCGCCTTGTGTGGGAGGGGAGATTATACCAACAAACTATTTCAGGAATTCTATTTTGGGACGGATGAAAGATAAGGAAGAAACAAAAAGTGGTCACGTGTGCAAATGTAGTGGGCGAGACAATAAGGCTGTAAACGAGTATCGTCGTGTCGTTGTTCCTTGTTTGTTTACTTTTTCAGATTCCTTATCAAACGCCCCTATCTGCTATCTCTCTTTCTCTCTCTCTCCCTCTCTCTCTAACAATGTACTGATTAAACAGATTGTGGTTGACGACTTTTCTACTTATAAGTTTCCCTGCGGTTATTTTAGTTCAATCAATCCCATAACCTTTCTAATGTTTATCAAAAATTAATATGTTTTGTATTTCATTTCCTTTAAACCAACCCCTATTTACCATCTGTTTTTTATAGAATAAAATGTTTGTTTATAAAGTTTGACTGGCCACACAATTTTGTACCTATTTTATTTTGTATAAAGTAACAGTTACTTTGAGGATTATATATATATATATATATATATATATATCAATAAGTGGCGCGTGCTGTAATGAGTGCTTTTTATTATCAAAATAAGTAATGAGTTATATATTTTGATAGTACATGGGTCATTGAATACCATAATGTGATGTAGTTTCCTATTTGTATCTTGCAAATAATAATAATTGATAGTTAATTCTGGAAATGAAAAATAGTGATCGCATTCATAAACCTGTTGTCAAAACAGCAACGAGGGTGTAAGGGTTTATTGTTTCAGATGCAAGGGTGTTTCAAGGACAAAGTGTTGGGCCACCCGGATTGGGGGGGAGGGGGCGGTGAGACTGTGTGAAGGGGAGGAAACTGGTTTTGGCTATTTATTGATTAGTTCGCCGACCCTTCTAGATGACAAAATTGAGTGACAGTGTTAAATCATCGTGTTCTGCATTTCATTTCTTGTTTACTTTGTGTGTTATTCTATTAATTCTAGTCCTTTGGTCTATTTCCTCTATATGTCAATTATATATTTTTTAATATATAAGTAAAACTTGTCCCTCCACCTTTTTGGATCCAAACCAACCATGTTCTTTTTTGATTAATAGGATTCATAAAACAAAACTATTTTGTGCATGGAAAACAACAAGAATAATCACGTGTTTTAAAATTTATTTTGTATTTATTTATACAAAATAGAATTAAATATTCATAGTAGTTACAATATACATATGTAATCGACTTGCTAGTTGTTTTGTCGTCATTCAAGGTCGCGTTGCTGTTCTGTTATGAAAGACAATCTGATTGTCTCAGTCTGCACTGCATATCTCTTCAGGCCTTCAATCGATATCCTTTTATTTCTTGCATCTTCATTTAGTTCAGTTCAGTTCTTATCGTGATTATCTACTATTTGATGTCTTGACAATTCTCAATGTTTTTAAACATATTAAAATAACATTGTGTTTATTTAAAAATTGACTGAACATCATTATTATTATGCACTTTTTTAAGAAAAAAAGTTTAATAATTAAGATAAGGTTACGCTAGGAAAAGCTCGGCTCGAAAAAGCTCGAGCTCGAACATTTTTTAAAAAGCTCGGCTTGGCTTGGCTCGAGGTTGAAAATCACTATTCGCACACCCCTAATATAAGTGTATTGTTGTATGATCATTTTGTGTATCTATTAACTCCTGGACAATTTTTTCCCTCCGGTAAGTAAACCAAACTCGTTACTTTTACAAAACACTCCTTAATCAGCCATAGCCTTTTTTGAGAATTTAAACCAATATTATGCATCCTCGCTACATAATTATCAGTCCTTAGTCAACAAAAATGCTTCCCCAGGTTTCAAACTGATCCTACATTCATAGTAAGCCTAAATATTCTACTATTGTATTAAATATAGAAAGTAACCAGGGTTGGCTGCTAACCACTCCTGTATCACTCTCTAACCATTTATCTTTTTGACAGGTATGCCGTGATTTCCCACTCAGAGCTTGTCTGCTACTTTATGGTGTTTGTACACCAAATGAAGTCTGCTACTCTGCTGTCACTTCCATTGCCTCTCATGGTGTTTCTATGGGGAACTCTCACCGTTCCAAGACCCTCAAAACTGTTTTGGGTCACAATCATCGCCTATACAGAGGTAAGGGGAATGTTGGCGAAAGACATTTTGTATCCTCACTAGGGGTCTGCGGTACAGAAAATGTAAGGTCGGTATGGTTCGGTACGGTACAATATTTTGTACCTCGGTTCTTGGTACAAAATCAGTACGGTACGCGGCTACCCGTATTTTTACGGTTTTCTGCTCAGAACTGACTGTATTTAACCATAATTTTTAACTTTAATACATTGACATAACTATGAAAATGGATAGTATCCTACATTCATGGTTTTCTAACAACAATTACTGTACCACACATTATTAAAACAAAACCTTTTACTACTACGAGGATTGTGTAAAGAAAAATCACAGTTAAGATAAAGGCTTTACCTATTTTACTCTGAGATACTTTGAATAGCCATGATAAAACTGGTTTTAAAAATATGATAAGAGTTTTTAGGAACAAACATGTTTGAAACATTTATTGACAAGATAATTTAACACAACTGGTAAATTATTTCCAGCCAACACAATGTCTAGTTGTTTTTAGCGAATTTCCCTATAGGGAAGTAGCTATTACCGTAGGTGGCACGGTAAGACCTAGACCCGGGACCGATTTACTTTTTCATTTTAATGTCCCCAGAGGCCAAAAACACCATTCGTTCAAATTTTTATATATGTATATATATATATATATATATATATATATATAGACTTTTGTTATTGTATACATCAATGAGGGCTACTTTAAATGTTACTAAGCAAATCAAAATACCACAGTACCCTAAAAACATTTTATTTTATATAGGGGTGTGCGATGCATCGAAAATGCATCGAAATTTCGATTCGATTCGATTCGATGCATCGAATCGCGATTCGATTCAGCATGCATCGAAATCACGATGCATCGATTTGGCCTCGATGCATCGAAAAAGACCGATGCAGCGGTTAACTCCCGATGCAACGATTACATCCCGATGCATATTTAAAACTAATTTAGGACTCTAAAATGAGTTTTAGATAGGGAAGTGTCAATTATCGCTACCACCGATACTCGGACATTGCCGATACTAGGAATATCGGTATCAAGAATCGATTGCCAAACATCGATTTCGCCCGATTCCGCCGATACCGACAGCCGACAGGGATGGATAGATATTTTATTTAACATTTATTTATTTGATATCTATTGGTTTAGTAATCACGCTAACAACTTTAGTAACCAACTTAGTACACTATTTAGTTCAAAACAGCTAAAGGTTATTTTCAGCTGTTCTCTCTGCAGGCAGATGATATTGCACAACACAATACAATCTACATTTCAAGATGTCAGACGGTCAGAATTCAGTCTCAGACAACCGGCGTGCGAGTGTCCTCAACACGAAATTATACTAAAAAATGTCTGTATCAATAAGTCAGACCTTTAAATGTATTATTTTTATTTTTAGAACAAAATAAATAACCTAAACTTGTCTAGATGTTCAGTTTCATCCCTGCATTACGCATCATTAGAAAAATTCGATTCAATTACAACATCGAAGTCAGAGGGTTATTCGTATCGTAATCTACAACGCAGTGCGCGTGCGTGATTGGCTAAGTCGCTAATGACGACACACGGTTGCCGTGGCAACCTACAGTGCGCACTGAGCTCTGCGCCTTGTGTGTGAGGGAAGATTATACCAACAAACTATTTCAGGAATTCCATTTTGGGACGGATGAAAGATAAGGAAGAAACAAAAAGTGGTCACGTGTGCAAATGTAGTGGTCGAGACAGTAAGGCTATAAACGAGTATTGTCGCGTCGTTGTTCCTTGTTTGTTTACTTTTTCATATTCCCTATCAAACGCCCTTATCTGCTATCTCTCTCTCTCCCCCTCTCTCTCTAGCGATGTACTGAACAGATTGTGGTTGACGACTTTTCTAATTAAGATTCCCTGTGGTTATTTTAGTTCAATCAATCCCATAACCTTTCTATCGTTTATCAAAATAATTAATTAATCTGTTTTGTATTTTATTTCCTTTAAACCAACCCCTATTTACCATCTGTATTTTATAGAATAAAATGTTTGTTTATAAAGTTTGACTGGCCACACAATTTTGTACCTATTTTATTTTGTATAAAGTAACAGATACTTTGATGATTATATATATATATATATATATATATATATATATATATATATATATATATATATCAATAAGTGCTGCGTGCTGTAATGAATGCTTTTTATTATCAAAATAAGTAATGAATTATACATTTTTTATAATACATGGGTAATTGAATACCATAATGTCATGTAGTTTCCTATTTGTAACTTGCAAATAATAATAATTGATAGTTAATTCTGGAAAATGAAAAATAGTGAACACATTCATAAACCTGTTCAAAACAGCAACGCAGGTGTAAGGGTTTATTATTGTTTCAGAGGCTAGGGTGTTTCAAGGACAAAGTGCTGGGCCTCCCGGCTCAGGGGGGGAGGGGTGGTGGTGAGACTGAGAGAGAAGAGGGGGAGGAAACTGGTTTTGGCTATTTATTGATTAGTTCACCGACCCTTCTAGACAACAAAATTGAGTGACAGTGACGGTGTTAAATCACCATGTTCTGTATTTAATTTCTTGTTTACTTTGTGTGTTATTCTATTAATTTTAGTGTTTTGTTCTATTTCCTCCTGGTCCTCCCTTGCAAATTGTATTATCAATGCTAAATAATTGTGGTCAATTCAAATTATATTTTTGATTATTCAAATCTCCTACACAAAAAGACAAAAGTCAAACCAGGCAAGGAAAAAACCTGCTATTGTAATCCCCATACCCAGCCATTTGGGAAGTGGTGAAAGTCTAGTCTAAATATAGCTCAAAGGTCTCACCCTTCCCTTCCCCCCCTTCCAACCCCCTACTCAATGTTACTATTCAGCTCATTTCGAGGTCATTGCACAACGCCTGCCTCCCTTCTATTGTTTTGCCTTTTTAGTGTTTCTATTCTGACTTTTATAAACATAAATTTATTGCTTACGTAACAGTTCAGTAGTGAAATTTTCTATTGTGAAACACTAGGCCTAGGCCTACTCTAAACACTACGATCATGTCATTCTATTCTGTGTCAAGTCAGTATACCATTGCCAGTCAGTCGCCGGCGACTGCTTTGAGTTGACCTATTCTGTCGTGACAGCTATAAAAATATGTTAGGACAAGACAACTACCTCTTGCTTATTTCTATATTTGTTTGTATGACTGTAGAATCTACAGTAATACAAATTATCCATCATTTTATTCTAACACAAGTTACATTTCAACAAATATTGATCTTACAATTTTATACCAAACTAGCGAGTTCAAATATAAGCTCGAGTTTCAAGGCCGTACTCTACTCGAACTCAAAATCTCGAATACTCGCCCATTTAGTGTTAATTGTATAAATTAGGGATGGTCAAGTCTCGAAATTTCGGGAAATTTTAAATCTCGTTACACGAGATGAGATTTCTTTTTGGCCGAGATTTTTATCAAGACGAGAATAAAAAAAATATAAAAAAATTAAAAACGCCTGCAGAAAGTCAATGCAATACCCGCAATACAGGAGCGTGTTGTAGTTGCGTTTCCTTTGCGAAGGCGTTCTTATTGAATTAATTCTTTAAATGTAAATATTGCTTTAATTATTTTAATAATATTACTTTAATAACATTTGAGAAGTTTTGTTGTGTAAGCAGCGTGAGGAATGTTTTATTACTATAAAAAGTCAAAACAAGTACAGTACCAACTATTTTATAAAAATTAATATTGCTTTTATTTTATGATTTATTTTATTTTAGGATAAGTTTAACTCTATCCTAACTGATATCACTATGTTTCCTAATCGTAGGCAGTTATTCTGATGTTTTTTAATAAAAGATTGTAAATATTCTTGCCTATTATCATTATTTTTTTATTTAAACAGTCATCTAACAATGTTACAAAATCAGGTAAAATTTTTGAACGTGCATTTCCCGTTGTGTATGAGAAGGGAAATCCCGTCTCGATCTCGTCTCGAAATTTTATGAGAAATAAAAAAGTCTCGTCTTGTCTCGAACTAAAAATCCAATCTCGTCCATCCCTAGTATAAATAAAACCGGATCCAGCCTAAGATCCGATTGTAGTAGTAAATACTGATTATCAACTTTTTTGGTTCATGCTGATTTAAGAATGAACCAAAAGTATTGAAAGCCAACAAATATAAATGTGAAAACTAAGTAACAATACTACCTGCACATCATAAAATAAACTCTATTTTATTTAATACAGGTCAATAATAATAAACTTAACGATTGCTTTATTGATATAGGCTTATTCTAATTGTTAGTGAAGGGTGAATTTCCTTAGGCAAACCATAAAATTAGCAGTGTCCATTAATGAGGTTAGGTCAGCAACTATCCTCTTGTTCATAATTTTATTTAGTACATTTTTTACTTTAACTTTTTTAAGGTAATGGATCCATTACAGAAACACATGTTGTATTTAATTTTTGAAGAAAATTATGCCGTGCTGCATCGAATCGAATCGCATCGATTCGAATCGAAATTCTTTGAATCGCATCGATGCATCGAATCGAAAAAAATATGCTGCATCGCACACCCCTAATTTTATATTACTTACATGTTTCGGACATTAATGCCATGATCACAGTATAGTATATAACCTATTAGTTTCTTTTATTTACAAACATTATTAGATATTTCTTATTAAAGAACAGGTGATAATTTTTATATTAAGGGAAGGAGGTGTTTTCTTTAAGATGTATAATTTCATTGAATATTACGTTTTGATTTTGAATTTGTGTCAAGTTTAGTAAATTGTCTTTGTCATTAATATGATGAGTATAAATATAAAAGATACAACTAAAAATGATAAATCCAATAATACCAAAATTTAGAGGACAACCTAAAACACATAAAATAAATGTACCAATACGTCCTGTTGTTAACTACCGAAATGCCCCAGCATACAATGTATGTAAGTACCTAAATAATAAACTAAAACATAAGATAAACTTTGAATCTGGATACAGTATCA